AAGGTTTCTGTTCAGCTCCAGGCTGCCCCTGGCCAGCTGCCTCACCTCAAACTGTAAACAAACAGTGAGAGGGGAGGAGAGTGGGCCCTCTGGGATTCATCAACGTGCCCTGTCAAATAGATGAATTACCCCTTTTCCCCAGAGTAAATTAAGCAACTGCCTTGTTCCAAACCTCCTCAGCTTTGTTGTTGGAAACCAGCTAACCCTTTAGAAGGCTCAATGGGTTTGATACCACAAGACGGGTGTGATAAGCCAATGTTAAATATGTAAATCTATTAGCAATAAAATAAATCAGAGATACTGGCCCATCCCTCAGCCCATCCCACCTAACTCAGAGACACAGGCCCTTCAAGTTGAGACATACATTTCTCAAGCACCTCCCTTCAAATCCAGGACACCAGTCCGTTCCACCCATTCCTCCCAAATCAGGGACACTTGGCCCTTTACAATATGCTCCATTAAAATGGGAAGTCCCCTGCCCTTTACACCGGCCACCCTAAACTTAAGCAACCTTGCCTCATTAAAAAGGGAAAGGTGGTCTTTTAAACAGAGTGGAGTAATTCAGATCTCTAACGATACGTCTACATGTGATAAAAGATGTGCGGCACAGCCATGGCTGGCCCGGGTCAGCTGACTTGGGCTCTCGGCAGGCTCGGGGTGTGGAGCTATAAAATTTCAGTGCAGACATTCAGACTCGGGCTGGAGCCCAGGCTCTGAGACATCACAAGTGGGGAGGGTCTCAGAGCCCGGGCACCAGCCCGAACCCAAACGACTACACTGCCGTTTTATAGCCCTGCAAGCCTGATTCAGCTGACCCAGGTTCTGAGACATGGTGCCCCTATTTGATTGACAGAGTTTGTTTTTAGCCTGCTATAAAGGGACTCAGTCCTGCTGGGACAGTGGCAGTGGCATCCACCGGATGATGATCCAGCTCTGCCTGGAGGAATCTACAGACGAACAGTCGCCATGTTCATCTCAAAATCCACCTGAAGCTTTAGGCCCCTTTAGAGGCAGAGAAGCTGTCTTGTCTCAGCACAGCAGAGTATCAGTATCTTGTCCAACAGCAGAGCTGGCCTGCACCGAGCTCCCCCACTCATCTAGCCAAGGCAATGGCCAACAGAAAAGTCTTGTTCCAAGACGAACCCCAGCTCACAGGATTGGAGCAGCAAAGAGACATCCAGCGTAACCAGCCCGGTAGACTACTGCCAGGCAAGCACCTGAATGGCTCATGGAAGATGACTTCACCCTCCCCCCCCCCCAATGCTTCTACCAAGTTCACAACAACCAGCAGATGACTGGCACTGCTGGCTTCCGGCTCACTATATAAAGCAGAGACAACTGTTAACTGGGATTGAATGCTCCTGGCTTAGAGCTGGAACAAGCCTGATCCCAGGATGACGGCAATGGTCAAAATCCGAGGCATGAAGCCTTGTCAAGGAACAAACACTGGCACAGTTCTTCCACCTTTTGGTGCTGGTCGCTATCTTCCTCAACCGCTGCAGGTCCCTGAGGGAGAAATAATGCACGTGTCTTCAAATCCCACCTCCCAGCAGATGGGGTCATCAACTGAAATGCAACTAGTTCTCTAAGGAAGAATCTGCAAAGCAATGACACAGGGGAAAGGCACAGAGCAGACCTACAGCCACGTCCTGACCCCCTCTGACAGCCAGCTCAGACATCTGTATGCAAACCAGGTCATTTTCCTGTAGCGAGGAGTGACAGACAAATCCCATTGCTAAATGTTTGCTGCTCCTTGGCATCGCTGCCACTGGTGAACCTCTTCTGCTACTCCGCTCAACTCACTGACACTCAGAATTTGGCCTCAGAATGCTACTGTCAGGTGGATTTGTGAGACATGCAAGATATCCATGGTCTGTTCACCCTTAGCCAAAGGACTTGGGGACACACGCCCGTTTGTTCCAATGAGAACGTACTTGATGGTTTGTCCTGAGCATTGCTCTTCCACAGCTCAGTAGATGGACGAAGTACATGAAGGCAGTTCAGACAGCCAGTAGTTCTGGTGAATTTATATGCAAAGCCCTGTTGGAGTCTGACCAGAGCCCAGTAACAGATTTCTCCATACAGGCCTCACAACCAGACCAGGAGGTATCCTCAGTCAGCACAGATGTACTCTGTTACGAGTTCCACAATCCACGGTCCATCAGATTTCAATGTCCAGGGCCAATGGACCCTAAGCATGATGGTCTTTGGGACACAATGCGAGACCCATCTCTTGTCTCCTGCCTTCCGCGAGGTGTGAGGTGGTCAGTAGTTTAGTGTGTGCACGAGGGGAGTGGGGGGAGAGTCATTTGGTTGTGGCTTTGCCAGATCGAGTTATAGTGCCACATTAAACACTGTGCACTTGCCCACAGGTTGGATACATTTTATCAGCTTAAAAATAAATGAATAAATCGAGTTCTGACACGTTAAGGACTCTGCTAGGCGTGGAGGCTGATCTACTGAATATTCTCATCTCTTCATCCTGCTGGGAACAACTGGACTGGCTTCATCTGAAGCAGAGCAAAAAGAACAGGGGCTGCCTGGCAGTCAGAACTCCCAAAAGCCTGAGAAATACTCCTGCAGAGGGGCTGTGAGCAGGCTGCAGTTCGAGCCCATTAAAGACCGACTCTTACGGTGAGGATATTACCGCCATGTCTGTGCACAGCTCAGCTCCGGGTAAACCTTTGCTGATGTGGAAGCTGGTTCTCCATCCTTACACATGTGGTGGAGGTATCTGCTAAGGAGAGCTGCCTTTGACAGCCCAGTCATCCAAATGCTCTGGGAGACTGAGCTTCTCGCCCCCACCAGACAGTCAATGGGGCTGGTGAGAAATGCAGCCAGGGGCTGGGAACCTGAGCAATTTCCTGTGGGGCTATGAAAACAGGCCTCTTGCAGGTCTGCACTCACTCCCCACTCTCCCCTGCTGGGCCCCACGTGAAGGGCAAGAGTAAGAAAAGGATGAGACTTTGATCCCACAATTCGGCTCCCTAGGGCTGAGATTGGAGCTGAAAACCCTCTGGCTTCTTCTGGAGAATGAAACACCTAGTACAGAACCAGTCATACATGAACCCACCTCTCTGCTGCAATTCTCCTCCAGTTTGGACCAAAGCACCTCATTTAGCTCTGGAGCTGGTACACAAGAAGCTCTGAGAGCTTTGCAGAGGTCAAAGCCCCCTTCTCATTCTAGCACTGCTGCAGTGGGCTCCTGGCTGGGGCTTTCCCAAATGGCCGAGCTGTGAGAGATGGCTTGGGTCTGCCTTCTAAGGATCAGCTCTCCTTTCACTCCTCGTGGCCTGGGCCTGCTCCCTTTTTGTGACCCCTCTGGCTGCCCACATGCCACTGGGCCAAACAGGTTTGTCCTTCCAGAAGCAGGTTAATTTTGCATGAGAGGAAGGACGGCCTTGTCGCTAAGGCAAAGGCCTGGGAGTCAGCCCAGCTGGATTCTGTTCCCAGATCTGCCACAAGCTCATCCTGTGATTGGGGCAAGTCACGTCATGTCTCTGTGCCTCACTTTCCCCAGCTGTAATATCAGGCTTAATTCACTGAAAGCCTCAGCGGTAGGCAGTGTTGTTACACACTCGTCAGGGACTTGGAACCGGCTGGCCACATGCTCTGCCATCTGAGGCAACCTCCCTAAGTCTCACGCCCTTCCCTGCTCCCATAGCTGGCCCTGCCAGGAGTCCTTGGCCTTTTCTCTGAACGTCGTTCTGACGAAGCCTGACCATTTTCTCATTTTAGTTGGTATCTCGCACAACAAAGCCCCTCCCCCGAGCCCCAAAATAAGGCCCCAGAAACTGGCGGTGTGGAAACTGAGGAGGAGTAAGGGGTGTTTACGGGACTAGCCGTTCCTGGAATCCAGACTGCTGCTTGCCAGTTTTCAGTCACCTTTCCGGAATGTGGGGAGGATTCGCAGCAATTTCTTCCTGAACATTCATCTTTCTCACCCTGTGAGCTGTGCGCACTTGTTCCCTCCACCTCAGCTCCCAGCCCTTCCCTCCACCTCGCAGCATTTCTCTGCACCCCTCAACTCCACCTCAGCCTCTTGGTCTTCCCCCACATCTCCGCTCTCTCTCCTAGCCTCCTACCCTTTCCCACCCCATCTCTCTTCCTCTTCCTCCCGCTCCCTGTCCAGCTCTCTCTGGGTAAGTCTACACTGGAGCTGGAGGTGTAATTTCCTACTCAGGCAGACCTACACATGCTAGCTCTAATCCAGTTGGTGCACTGAACGTAGCAGCGTAGCCACGGCTGCGCAAGGACCTAGCCACCCTGACTACAAGCCCGTCTGAAAGCGAGGTACTTACTTGGGCAGCTAGTCCCTCCTGCCGCTCGCACCGCTGCAGCTACGCTTCTGTTCATAGTGTGCCGACTGGATCAAAGCTGGCCTGGGTACGTCTGCCCGAACTGCGAATTCCACCTCCAGTGCAGACTTACCCTCTGCCTTTCTCTCCCCACTCCCCCTCTGCCTGTTTCCCTTCCCTCTGTCGCTACTCCCCAGCTCTCTCCAAGCTTGTGGGCAGCAGGGGCCAGTGGCCCACTTCTCCACACTCCTGCTCAGGGTCTCTTTTGATGAGCCACGTCTCACGCCTTTACAGGAGAGTTAATGTTCATTTTAAAAATCCAGGGCGGTGGATGAGCCTGAAGCTGGGGGCAGAGGCCCCTCTGATCCAAAGAGACCCTTAGACGGGCTGGGTTTAGTATCACAGGCTCCTGCTAAGCATGTGTTCTGAGTAACGCAAGGAGATGGCAGTAGCCAGACATGCCTTGGATGGTACAATCAGACGCTCACACACAGCTCTGTTCCTGGGGCCGGCCAGCATTTCACGCTTGCAGAGAATTAACTTTCCCCTGGGCAGGTTATAATGGAGACCGACACAGGATCCCAGGGATTCCAGCACAGCGCTGCCACCCCCCCCGCCGACTCTTGGGCTAGGGGAGGACAAAGGGCTGGTGGGGTAGACGTGAGTGTGGCTGTATCTCTGGGGTACTGGTCAGTTACTCACAGCTCCTTGTAGTTGGCATCGTAGAGAGTCACCCACTTGTTCTGCTGATGCGGCTGCCACTTTATGGACTGGTAGTTGGGATCCAGGTACGAGCCGTTCAAGCTGTCGTTGTCTTGAATTAGCCCTGCAGCCATGGGGAAATATTTACTGAAATCATTTCCGTGAGGTCCCTGACCAGGCAAGAGCTCCCCCTGCTGGTACAAGGGAGATACTTCCACTCTGCACTCGCTCAGCCCGGGACCCATGTCCTGACTGCGCTATCAGTGCACCCTGTGCCCCAGCCCAGGGCCAAGGGGAGAGCGTCCACCCTCCGCACTATCAGCTCTGGGAACAACTCTCTCACTTGCTTATCTGGGGGGACACTTCCAGTCTCACTCTGTCCTGCAGGCTCCTCTCCCGTGCACCCCACCTGGGGAGAGCTCCCCCTGCTGGTGCCAGGGAGGTGTTGGGTAATGTTGTGGGAGGAGGGGACGAAGAGCACATACCTGGTGAGAGTGCCCCCTGCTGGTGCCAGGGAGGCGTTTGGACTCTGTCAGGGTTGAGTGGCACAGACCCCATACCTGGCTCCTGCTTTATCATCCCGTTGAGCATCTGTGCGTTGAGTGTGTTGGGGGGCGACTCTGAGTGTTTCCTCTTCTTGGCTGGGTGAACTGGGAGGCTGCGGAGACCAACCGGGACAGGAAACCCTGAGCTGCAAGGCAGCGAGCAGGAAAGCAGGGCAGCTGCTCAACCTCCACCAAGGGAACAGCGAGCGGGGAACTGATGGGCCCCAAAGGCAGGAGCGGGATTTGGGCTTGGGGCTGGGGAAGATTTTTTAAAATAAGGGGGAGGGATAGCTCAGTGGTTTGATCATTGGCCTGCTAAACCCAGGGTTGTGAGTTCAATCCTTGAGGGGGCCATTTAGGGATCTGGGGCAAAAATCTGTCTGGGGCTTGGTCCTGCTTTGAGCAGGGGGTTAGACTAGATGACCTCCTGAGGTCCCTTCCAACCCTGATATTCTGCGATTCTATGGGGGCGGGAGCAGGGACTCAAGTGAAGGCAAATGTCTAGTTCAAACGTTTAAAAATTAAAGACTCTGTAATCTCAGCATAGGGAGACCCATTACTTTTCAGTGTCATTATCGCCCCCCCCTCTTACCGCCATGCCCCACCCCTGCACCTCCTCCACTCCCCACCCCACCGCCCCTTTACCACCATGCCCCACCTCTGCACCTCCTCCATTCCCCACCCCACCGCCCCATTACCGCCATGCCCCACCCCCGCACCTCCTCTGGGATACAAACATCCCCCTCGGTTCTCCCTGTCCCTCCCCAACGCTCTTACTCTGCTCCATGCTGCTGCAGGAGCTGGTGAAGCATCTGTGACTGCTGGGCGTGGTGGAGATCGCCTGGGGACATGCCCTGCCCGATGACATACGGCGGCATCAGCGGCTCAGGCTTCATGAACATGTCCCGCTGCATACTGGGATAGTGGGGGTTGTGCTGCTGCTGGTGTGGATGCAGCGGAGGTGGTGGGGGACCCTGAAGGTGGGGAGGCGGGGGAGGGTGCTCCAGCCGGGAAGGTGGGGTCATGTGGCACATGTTCTCGGGGGTCATGGTCCGGAGGAGGTGAGGCTCTTCAAAGAAAATATAATGGATTCATTAGAACCCCACGTACAAGGCCAAACACAATCTGTCCTGAGTCCACCCCTCCCTCCCCACTCAACCACCCGCCCCTCCCCAGTCCCAGGGGAGTCCAAACCCACCCACGGCAGATTACATCATGTTCCCGCAAACTCCCCCCACTTCCCCAAGCTGGGTTACCATATGGCCGGGGTTTCCGGACACAGCCTCTTTTTCGAGCCTCCGCCCTATGTCTGGGGTGGGAGGATTTGAAAAGCAACAGGCAATGTCCAGGGTTTTTGCAGCTCAGAAAGAGCCTCCCTTGCAGCGGCAGCTGATTGGTCCATTCCCCTGTAAGCCACAACGGCCGGATCCCGCCCACCCAGGTCCCGGTTCCCAGCTGTGGGGTGAGGGTCCCGCAGGGAGGCACTGAGTGACAGCTAGCGCGGGGTCCTGGGCTTGTGCCAGCCGCCCTGCCACTGTGACACAGAGCGACACTGCCTCCCCACCTCCAGTGAGTACCCCCGCCGCAGATACCCCCCTCCAGCATCCCCACCTGCCTACCCCCTGCCCCAGCAGAGTTGGGCCCCTAGCCCACCTCTCCCAAATGAGTCTACTCTGGTGTGGGTAACTGTGCAGGCAATTCTGGGACTGTATTTCTCCTCCCATCTCCTGCTTGTTTGGAGGCCCAGGTGTCCCACGGGAATGGCTGGGGATTTCCAGTTTGTAAGGAGAGTTCCAGCTACTTTTCCTTTATAAACTCAGCAGCGTGGTGAGGCTTTGGGCCCTGTGATTTGGAAAGGGGGTTGAGGGAGCCGGATGAGCAGAATGCCCCACACCCACAGTTAGCAAGGCTCCCAAAGGGCTCACATCGGATCTAGTCCGTGTGTAATAGGAGGCTGACACTACATTACAGCTAAGGTTCAAACGACACAATCAGGATGTTCAGAGTTCAAGCTCCCAGTAACTCCCAGCACACAAGTCACTAATGCCTGGATACGTAGGTGCAATGGGGCAGAGTTAGTATTTAGCTGGACTGCTGTAGCATCAGGAATCGGGGCCCCTGTGATGATTTAGCTTATGTCTGTCTGTCTCTATGGCACACTACAAATGTCACTTTGGTCGTGAGAAGGACCCATCCTTCCCTGATGTCTTTGTGCCTCTATCTTGGCCTGGAATTGCAAGCCACAGGGCAAACAATGCAGAGAGATCAGGAGTTGTTAATCCGGAGGATCACCTGTTGAAATGCAAGCACCTCGACCAATGAGCTCACAGATATCCAGTCCTTCCAGGTGAGCTGGTAACCAAGCAATGGATCACCTGACAAGGGACTTGACGGGGTCACCTGTCGAAGGGGACTGCAGCTTTACAAAAGTGTGGCTCCCTCACAGACCGCCATCTTTAGAGAGGGAGACGCACTAGACCCTGACGGCTGAGCGGGAGGACCAGGGACCCCGGAAAGGTCTGTCCAAGACCCAAAGGGTTCTCAGAGTGGCAAGGGAGGGATTTGCATGCAGGTTTTATTTTTCTAGAGATCTGTATCTATCTTGTCTATGCGAAAAGAGTGTGTGTGCTTAGAAACTCCTTTGCAGCGTCTGCGTGTTACCTGCTTACGCTGCCACGGAGCCCTCAAAGAAATCAGAGGGTCGTGCTCTGGCGGAACTTGGGGAGCACGCAGCAGCTACTGGGGAGGCTTGGATGAGCCAGCACTAGTTCCAGGGCCTATGCAATGGGACCGCGTGGTCACAAGGGGTGTCGGACAAGGGGTCTGCCCCTGCAGCACGTGCCTAGAAGCCCAGAACCTGAGAGACAGCGTGGCTGAACTCTGCCCAAGCCCAGAAAGCTAAGAGCAGCCTGGGGAGCGTCCAGCTGGGAGAGCTCATGAGGGTTGTAACAGCCCCGTCATACTAGGCACTGTGCATATCCAGAGCCAAGGGACTGCCCCTCCCCAAAGAGCTGACAATATAAGACAAGAGACGAGCAGCAGGAGGGCGCGTCAGGTAACAGTGAGACGCGTACAGACAGCCTGATAAGCAGCGGTCACAGCACACACACTGTCTCGCCGCAGCCGAGGATTTTGTGAGCACACTCAGAAGCTGCACAGGAAATAAGACAGGGGAAATCTCACTTGCTGTGCCCCCAGCACCAGCCCCCGCCATGCCTGCAGCACCACCCTGCAAGCCCAGACTAGTCCCCTCGTTGCACCAGCCCTGCCCAACTCCTGCCTATCATAGGTACTTCTCTGGCCCCCAACACTGCAGGATCTGAGCACCTCACAAGCTTCAGGGTACTTAGCATCAACCCTCCTCCCCCCCCCCCCGAGATGCAGGTAAATGCTGCTATCCCCATGTTACAGCCAGGGCCAACCGGGGGGGGGGGGGGGAACGACAGGAGGGCCATTTGGCCTGGGCCTCAAGCTCAAAGGGGGCCTCAAATTTAGACACTTGTTAATTTTTTGTCATTTGATAAGTTTTGCAACTTGTTTTTATGCACATAATTTTTTCGTTAACTGATCTAGATTTTGTCACATTAAAGAGTTTAAAATGTTCATAAATATTAATAAAAATATATCGGTTCTGATGGCACAAGATTAGACCATGTGTCGTCATTTTTTCTTTTTATTACGGCTAGGGGCCTCAAAAGCTGGAAGTGGCCGGGGCCCCTCTGAGAGAGCCCGGCTACAGCTGGGGAACTGAGGCACTAAGGGGCTTCCTCACGGCCTCACAGGAAGTCTGGGGCAGAGCAGGGAATTGAACCTGGGTCTCTCCGGTCCAAGGCTAGTAACGTAATCACTGGACAATCCTTCCTCAGTTCCTGTATCAGCAACTCCCTGCTCCCTCACTGCCCCTTTATCCCGCAGCCATGAGCCAGCCTGTAACCCCGGCCTGCACCACAGCTCCAACCTCTCCCTCTCCGTGCCCCACCCACGTCCTCCAGTCATTGCCACCACCACCGCAGCCTCCTCTCCTAGCCATGCCGCCTCCCAGCCTGGGCTTCTCTCATTTCCACTGACACCAACACTTGCCATGGGAGCGACCCTCTCTGAGCCGCTGGGGAGGGGAGCCGCAGGTAGGGGCTGACTGGAGAAAGACATAACAACACAACAACATAGGCTGGCCCAACCTGACTGCTAAGTGTTGGAAATCTCAACCTCAGTGGTGCAATAGCGGAGAGATTTTTGTGTGTGTGCATTTAATTCACTAATATACATTTTTACACACAGAGAGGACTTTGATCCTCACATTTAAATAAACAAGGGAGATTCAAATACACACTCCTACTCCCCACTTCTATATGTGGGATCAGATATTGAAATGAAGCCACTATCTGGATTTATTTGACTGTGTTGCCATCAAAATAAATGTTTAACAAGCGGCATCTGAGGGTGTATGCAAACTAACTGCCCCCACCACAGGCCCCGATCCAGCAACAAATTCCACACAAGCAAAACCCTGTGTCCACATGGAGCTCCTGGCAAGATCAAGGCCTTACACCTTAACCTGCAAACACTCCCTACCCAGTACACTACATGCAAGCAGTCTCACTGAAGTTAATGGGACTCCTCACAGTCCGGTAGTACTTGTTTGCAGCAGCAGGCCCTTACCCTGTTAGAAAGAATAGCGTCCCTAGGCTTCAAACATTCAGCTGGACTGATCCTAAGTCAAATGACTCCCAGTGCAATACATTAAGAAATAAGGCCCAAGGAAAGGTGGAAGTTTCTAACATGAAGCCACTTTGAAGGCATCTGAGAGCAAAACAGAAGTATTGGGAACAACTGTGAGCTGCTGAAACCCATTCTTTTTCACACATGAATCTCTGGAGGCCCCAACGCCACCCTGCAAAAAAAATTCACATGGGAGATGAGAAAAGGCATGAGAAATTTTAGCCCCAGGGGTCATTTTTTGGTGCCAGAAAATAGTAAATATCTGGAAGAAAGGTCTAGGAATTAAATAAATCGTAACTGGATTTGGGTCCCAGATACGACATTTGGATCAGGGTTTTGATTGGAGCTCTCTATCCTTAACCTGAATTACTGATATGATACTAGGTAACAATAATACTTGAATATTAAGGAGCGGCACTACATACTTCAGCTTGAGGTTGAAGCAGTGTTGCCAACTCTGAATTGCAAGTCAAGTGATATTTGATGATCTTCTTAAAGCCCCAGATCCTGGCATCCTGTGAAGATGTGAAAGTCGCAGCTTTCATTGTAAACAAAAGGTAGATTTCTAGTTCTTGTGGTTGCCGAGAAAAGTTTGAAAACTTGAACTCCATGAACTCCAAAGGCTCAAACACCAGAAGGGTAAATACACAGAACACAATACCAGCTGCCTACATTGATGATCTTGCTCACAGTTTCCCTGCTAATCAAGGGTTCCCCCACCACACCCCAATCATGCATCCCTCCTGAGCAGCGGATATGCGAGGATACTGGAGACATGGTGAGCAGTGGCAGTAGTGTTATGTGAATGACAGGCATCACTTTATAATCGCATTTGAATATAGGGGTGCCTGTGCTTTCCCTGGACTTGGCCGTGACGGGGGCTTGAAGGAAGGTGATCCCTAGGCAGCACAAACTGTATAAAATGGAGACATTGCTCACTGGCTAGTGGAAATGACCAAATAATATGGTTAGGAACTGTCCCCATTAGCGAGGGGGCACGTCCACCTTTTGTCACAGAAGTTTGCAGTTGAAAGGTATTACTGGCCCTTTGGTTGTTCCTGGATTCCCAGGTTCTTCTGTGGCAGGAAAATTGCAGCCATTTCTTAGACGGGACCTTGCTACAATCTTCAGCGCCTTGCTCGCTTCCAGAACGGATTGCTGCCATGCGCTCTGCATGGGGCTACAACTGAAGACCACCTGAGAGCTACCCTCACCATCCTCTTTGCAGCACAAAGCAATCAATTTAAATAAATGATTGAAACTCTTGCCCCATGGATACTCCTCCTCCAGAAAGATTTAAACTCCTGCATTATGAGAAGTAGAAGAAGAAACAGAGGAAGAACTAAAAGA